ATTCTTAATAGGCTCGTGAGATTTCTAAAATTTTGTACAATATTACATTAATGTAATATCTAGTAACTGTTAAAATTTCAATGGTTTGTCATTGTTTTTATGTAAGAGTTCATACAACCTTAAGGATTTGATAACCGATATTGATGACTGACTCGTGATTTATCCGACTGGATGACGTAACTGATAAATTACGTGAGACTCGCTATGACTGTCCAAACGGTTTCGCAAGTTTCACGCTTCCCGATAGTTTTCCTGATTTAGTTATAGGTTGCGGATCAGGAGGGACGGATAAACGACGTTATCAGCACCGCTTTGAAACTGATCTTGGATCTACATACCCAGGATACGAGTGATCGATTAAATTCCAATCATCGTAATTACAACGTGTCCTATATCGCGTCGGCCATAGCTTAATTTGATTCGAGCTATCCGAGAGAAATTAGCCACGTTACACCTGACCAGGATGGGTTTCGTATTAATTTGTTCGACAGTCACGGGTCTCGTCGTCGGACTTCTACTGGACCAGACCGATGTCAATTTCAGTTATAATTGTTCCAATTAAAACGGAAATTCGAGACGAGACGAAACTAGAAATAGCGATGCCGTTACAAGTGAAGTACGTTGCTGACGAATTTAAAAAGCATGATTAAAATTCATGATTCTATCAAAAATATCCGATGAGATCAGTTCGGTTTACTTCACGTGTCGATCTAATTTGTTGAGGACAAATGATAAGGCAAAATCATTTGGGAACAGCGAGCTTGTTAAAATCGTGCGGAGGAAACGAATGAAGGCCGGACACGGACTGGGCGTCGCATCGTTAAAACGTGGAACCGCATTAGCGTCAAATAATTAAATCGTCGCGCGCCAATAACCATCGCTTATACCGGCTAATAATTATCACGGTCCGTTGGCGGCGTTCATAACCTGTCGTTAATCGTCGTCGCCGGACGCGTACAAGCGCGCGGCGTCGGAAATATTCGGTCGATCCGCCGTTACTCGGAATCCTTTGTGCGCCGCCCGTTAAACTATGTACGCGGACGAGCGACTGATTGTTAAAAATAATGAATCATTGATTCGCGACGATTCATTATTCGCTGTCCGAGCTGGTCGACGGAGCGTCGTCAACGCTCGTTACGCTCTGCGTTAAAGCGACAACGTGATAATCGTTCCCATTACGCGTTTTCAAAGCATCGTGTAACCATTTAATGATGAAAATATGCGATGATGATGGCTCCACTGTTATTGTGATTTAGAAAATGACATGTTCCATGTTGTGCGAGAATAAAATTTTCAATTATTTGGAATTTAAATATTAACGAAGTATTACACATAGTTGGATAAAATAGAAAAAAAAATTTGGTTAACAGAAGCGAGGTAATTTTGAATTTGAACTCGCTTCTATAATGTGATATTGCGGGGCCTAAATAGCGCAAACTTATGTTACGGTGTAATACTGCGGAGTGTAGGCCTTGCTTAAAGGATGTCGTCGTTAATCCAGTCTCGAGAGGATATAGGTCTCGTTACATAGCAGTTCTGTGGTCTCTAATTCAGGTTGTAAATTTTATGTTAGTGGAAAATACTCCTCGCAATAACTCGGATCCTCTATTTTGCCACGAATTTCATTATAACTACAGTCAAATGGAAAAATGTCTAATTCTCATTAAAATATACTGTTTCGTTATAAATTTATCAATACAAGAACACTGAATCTTTTTATTGAAAACCTTATTAGTTTACAGAGGAAGTCAAGACGAGAAAAATCGTTTCGGATTTATTCCGATATATTAATTCGTCCGGAAGTACAGTTTCTAAAATTTGGGTGCAACTGCTGACAGAATGACCCAGTTATCTGCCTGGAAAAAACGCTTGTCAGCTGGATGTCTAAATTGGTAAATCGGTCAACTTCGGGAGTTTCATGCGTGTATTGGTATTTATTCCAAATTCAAGGACGTTTTTGTCTTTGCTGAAGTAGTGCGAAAAATGAATACCACAGATTATACCTCGCCTGTACTGATACGATAAACGAAACGATTTTTTTAAATGATCTCTTTAATTATTGATCCTTCGATGGATGACTGAAAGACCAAAGCTACCATAAAGGAGCCAACCATGAAGGAGCCAACCATGCAAGTGTTCTATAGAGATTCAACTGCTTCAAATGTTTTGTAGAAGGTAAATACAGGAGAATAAAATTGGCGAATGGAAAAATCAAAGTGAAACATCGAGTGTACATATGTCGCGTCAGGGAATAACAGGGATCATCAAAAGACCCGGCGACAGTGAATAAAGCTCGGCGGCGCGGCGAATCGTTGCAGCACGTATTCGAACGCGCGAAACGCGCTTCGATTCTCGTCACGCGGACAAAACGGTCGTTGTACTGCAAACAGTGATTATCCTCGTTGTACAAACCCCCTTTCAGCCCACCGATCCAGCAGACTCGTTTCGAAAGCACGGAAAAGAAAGACTGGTTGCGATGCGATTTCGTGGCACGCATCCCTTTCAACCGGAAGGCCCTGTGCCGAGTGCCGAGGTTCGCTCGCCCAATTCCCTGAGGATTCACGGGGATTCAGCTAGTTTTAGCGCACGAGCTGCAGTTGTACGTTCGAGCACGTTCCCCGTGTGTCCGCCAGTGTCTTGCTCCCGTAACTCGTTTAAACCTCGTCATCGGAGATTCGGAAGAGGGTGTATAGGCGGTGTCCCTGCCCATGAAGATGAGAACTCCGTGGCTGGACATTCGAGATGAGTTTCCGGCCACCTGTTGTTCGCTGCGAGGAGGCGAAAAAATTGCGAACGTATGCGAAGCTTCAATATTTTCTCGGCAAAGCTCGCCGCGCGAAAATATCCTGTTCCATCGCGTACAGACCGAGAGATTATGAAACTTGGCTTGAACGACGGTTTTCTATTTTTTATCATCGACTCTTGTCAAATATATTGTTCTTTATCACGTAATTTTATGGTTTGTATCTCCATGACGAAACAAATACTATTTTCAAAATGCTAGATATTAAACACTGCAAACGCATTTATTTTCATACATTTTACATTCCGCATACAAACTTCAAAGATCGTTAAGTATTTTATTAAACACAAAATAATCTAAAACACGAAAGGAGGATAATCGAAAGCATCGGTGCGATACGAAAAATAAATAAAGATAAAACCGTGCTAAATAGAAGCAAATAAACGTTCATTTTATTCGCAAGTAAGAAAAACGAACGTTTTTCTCATCTTTGATCGTTACGTTACGAATCCCGGAAAATAAGTTAGCTTATCGATTATCGAAGCGAGTTCGGGTTTTACTGTGAAAAGTCTCGACCCCGTCGGTTGCAACAGAGCCACCGCGCGCGAACGTCGAAATTAAAAAATCCGGCGAGTACACGCGACAAGAGTCTCCGGCGTGCGTGGAGGAGTGAAAAATTTGAAAAAACAAAAGAAAATACTACGAGTGGACGCAGTGTTCTCAATGTATCGACGTAAAAACTAAAAACGAAACTCCCAGTGGGGTGGAAGGGATCGTAAAACTAATTCTACGCGAGGCGTGCCAAATAATCTGGACCGCGTCATAACTCAAAAAAGCGGAGCGCGGTGAATTACGACGCGTCCGTGGCCGGGCAGCGGCGATTTTTTTTCCACCCCCCCACGGAAAATTTTATTGCGTGCATCGCGCGCGTACACGGGCTACAGATTTTGAGTTATTGCCAACGAATTCTCTTTTCGAACCTTTCATCGGATTGCGTCTCACTATTCGCGATCGCTCGTCGAGTCGATGAACGTACGATAAAACTGCGAGTCAGAGGCGTTCCGAAGGAGAGAAGAATGGGCCTGGAGAGTTGAAAACGCGATTCCATTGACGGTAAATCGTCTTAATCGTGGACTAACTCGCCCTGAACGTCGAAACGGAGGTTGAAAATCGATGTTTGTTCCTAGTTCATGTCGTCGGTTACTTTTCTCATCAGTTTACCGAAGTAAGGAAACTAACGAAGAGGAGAATGTTTCTGTCGATACTTGCGCGATAATTGATCCCAAAATATTGTTCTATTGTCATTGAAAAATCGTTCAAATATTTCCAGCCTCCGTCTCGACGGACCTTTATGATACCCTGTAGAACGTGGCTCAAACTTAAGTGTCACGATTCGGATATAAGAATCTCGTCGAACAAAATAATTCGAGGGACCACAACGATTCGAGCGCGGAAGGATGCGGACACGGGTTGGTCTCGTGGCTCCATTTTGGGAACTCTCCTGAGCTACCTCTAATGGACGAGCGAGAGCGAGGTTCGATTCTAGGCAGACCGTAAAGCAAACATTGTTCGGCCGTAAATCGGTCGATGATCGGCAATGCGGAACGCCGGGCTGCGCCGGTCAGCTGCGTTCGCGATCTTTCGGGATCCGTTCGAATTTCGATTGTTCGAGCCATGCTCTCCCATTCCCAGTGTTCGGCACACTTCCCCATCCACTTACCGTAATTCGCTGCCCTATAGGTGCGCATCCACCAGCGCTCGGGAACAGTAAAAGCTGTAGCTTTTTTTTAGAACCACTTGTTCGTACATTCTGCTCTCAAGTTTTTCAGTTTTCACGATAAAAACGCGGCAGCAATTTGTGGAAAAATAATTGCAAGAATCGCGAACGTTTGCGAATCTCCACGCGAATTGTTCCCATCCTGTTTGTAAGATTTGGCGATTAAAATTCGCGAATGTACCTTTTTATGGTGAATGCGCAGCCAAACGCCAGGCGAATGGTGTTCTCTTTATTGTTATGTACGTACACCGTATTCTCCCGGCCGTGTGTTACGTGTGTGTACGTGTGGGTGAGAATTGGCGTGACGAATTTACATATTAAGTAACTTTGTATCCTGTACATCGGGCTGGTAACTCGTAATCTCGCGGGTTCACAGTTCACCAGTCTTAAACACCGAGTTTAAACGTGTTATTATCGCTACGGCAGAATTGCTACAACCTGTACGTTGAAACTTTCCAGGCGCGAACCGGGGAGCCGGTTCGCTCTTCCCTTCTCGAAATCGACGAGCAGTAAACTTGAATTAACGATATAATTGGTTAGCCTAGAAGGTAAGTGATCGAGGGAACAATTTAGAGCGTGACCAACGGGAAAATTCCTTGAAGGATGCGTACGAGTTTGAGCAGACGTCGGGCTAGACTCGTAATCAAGGCTATATTCTCGTTACTCCCTCCTCCTCTTCTTTTGCTTTCCTTGTCTCCAGACTTCCCTTGCACTTTGCACTCTCGCGTACGGGACGAGTTCGTAATCAGCACATTTGCATCCAATTGTTTATTGATTCGCGCCGCGATTCGCCTCTGTCGACAAAGGAATAGCCTCGCGCGCACCGTCGTTCGTCGTTTCACGGTTCTCGCACTTTTTAACTTAAACTTCCGTAACACTCGTCGCAACTATTCCATGAATATATACATACACACGCACATGGTACATATTCTCCTTAACTATTCCACCAAGAATCCTTGCCGTCAAACGCATAACTTCCGGCAAAGTTCGGAGCGCAAACGTTGCACAGTTAATTTCAGGAATGTTAGTTACCGTGACCAAAATTTTCAGCTAACATCGTCGCGGAGGGCCGCAATGACGGATCACGATAATACGTACCGTTCTTCCGGCCGGCCGGTCGTTGGACGAATCGATTTCGCTGCGATTCACGTGGCGTTTTTTGAAAATACCCGGCCGCTTGTTCGCGCACAACGACTGTACGGTAAGCTCTCCGAAAATTCGATTCCTCCAGCCCCGGCGCGCACCGTCCACGTATTTCAGGGAATTCCACCAGGCCAGGCCAAGGGGTGGCGGCCCACGAGACACCCGATTCCCGGAAGCACGCGAAAATTCCCCGCCGCAGTCACGGACAGATCCCGACCGGGCTGATTCGTCGAAAAATAATCCCGTTTTGTTCTCTCCTCGCGTTCTTCGATTCCGAACGAGTCGCGCGAATTTTCCGCGCGAGTTTCTCGAATAAATTTATTTTCCAGCCAGAAAACACTCCCCGCGGAATATGATTCTCGGAAAACAGTCCTCGCCCGCTGACGTTTCATCCTCTTTCACGAGGAAAACAGAATTTGATTAGCGACGCTGTCCGCTGTTCGAACAAGCCAGAATCCTGGCTCTGACAAGAAATTATTATCCGTAGACACGTGATTCGGAACATCCGGGAAACCTCGCACCTGATTAATCCATTACGACGTCTCCATTGCCACGACCACCTTTTGTTCCCGCTCAACCGGCACTTTAGCCGCAGCCGACGACGTCTGATATCTATTCTCTCCGGAAGACGACGTCGTCGACGGCGACGTCACTGCTCTGTCCCCGGAGCTTCTTGTTCTGCCAATCGTGTTTTCCTTGGATTAATTTGTCCCGATGTACGAGACCCGACAGTTTCCTCATTCCGCGTACACGGATTGATCCACCTTTTCTTCTCTGCTCGGTTCTACGTACTCTTAGCTCGGGAACGAGAATGATGCATTTGGATTTCTCTCGGAAACCACCGAAATCGGACGATCCCAGCCCCTTAAACACGAACAGCAAGATTTCCTTGTAACACCATTTACATCGAAGACGTGAGTTGCGGAAGAATACAAGTTTAATGCTTTTTCACTACTTTTGAATCGCTTTAGAAATATTATCTAAACTGCTTGTATTTTACTCATGTAGTAGAATCAAATTTCAATACTTCATTTATTTAGAATTAAATATAATTTATTATAAAAACCGCGTTGTGTTAAATAGAGAGAGTACGAATGAGATATCTACCACCGGAAATTAAACTTGTAACTCCAAATACCTTAAACGTCCATCGCATCGCCGACGTACCCTTCGTCGGGACTTTCCGGGTGATGAGGCGGCTGAAGATCCTCGGCTCTAGCCGCCGCCGCAGCGGCAGCTTCGCGAGCAGTTTTGCTGAGCAAGGACCTCGGCGACAAGGGAGTGGTCTCACCCCTGTAGGCAGCGGGCGGCGAAGGGATGAAGGGCACCTCGGGGAAAACGGCCACCGGTGATACCGGCGAAACGGATGGCAGCTGCTGTTGAAGCGGTTGCTCGACCGGCTGGATCGGTTGAGGCTGTTGTTGGGCAGGATACGGGTAGCCCTCGGCAGTGTACCTGGTGTCGGTCCTTGGCAACACCGGATCGTATCCCGGCGACCTGGCGAGGAACTCCGCTTCTCTGGAGTACCTGGCTGGTGGCGCGACCGCGGAACCCTCCACTGGCATTCTCTGTCTTAGCCGTGGCAACGTACTCGCGGCACTGTACGGGATCTTTGGTAGGCCAAAGTTAAGCGGATATCCATCCTGATATGATAAATTAGAAATAACCAGGAATTATGGCATGTCTTCAGAAATTGAATAAACGAATAAAAAAGAAATTGATCAATAGGTAAATTTCCTAATAGAGAATCAGTCCAAATTGGCTATTATGTCTTGAAACTTCGCTAATTTTTTAATTTTAATCATGCCCTTAGATACTAGTATTGTCTATCGTAATGTTGTATCAAATTAAAAAACTCTAAACAGTATTTTGAAGTAGAGATTTTAAGCTTTAAGTTAAAAGAAGAATTATCGTTCTACTATAATTTGTTCCTGAGTAATCATCTTCGAAACTTGGGCAATTTTCAACATAAATTTCGTAATGCCATAATTTTTCTAAGTAATGTAAGACTTGTAACGAATGAAATATACGATAGTGGCCATGCGTTGGTAAATTCATCACAAAGCAGAGATTTCCAAAGTGTGATACAAACGACAATGACTATTGTATTAGGAATAAGTGAATCAACCCTTACGCGATCGAGATAGCTCAGCTGCGGGATGTTCGAGGGGCGCAGGTCGGGTTGCAACGGGTATCCCGAATCGTATTCGAGAATCTGTCTCTCGCCGGGTTGATGCCGATACAGTTGCCCGTATCCGACGTCCGTCGTCTCTGGGACTTCGTTTATCAGATCGGGTTCCGTCAGATACTTGGACACCGGGCTGCAATACGGTTCCTCCACCGTCCTATGTTCTCTTCGCTCCAGAGTCGCGGCTCTGTTTAACTCTCTCTCCGTGTACGACACAATCTGTTGATCTAACCCGATCAAGCTCCCGTTACCCTTCCGACAAGGCAAGCTCGTCGTGGTGTCTTTGGTGATCGGCATCACAGATTTGTTTTGCGAAACGAGAACCTTCGAATTTCTCTTGCGATCGCGGCGTCGTTTGCGCATGCAGAACACTATGCTTCCGATCAGGGAGGCCAGCGCGAAAAGGGTGCCCACCAAAGCGCCAGCTGCTATTGCCACCACGTATCCTGATCTCGAGTTATCGTTCGGAGGCTCCACGGTAACCTTCTCTTGAAACTGGATCCGGAGAGACAGATTTGCCTGCACGGCTCCTGCTCCGTTCTCAGCTACGCACGTGTAAATGCCTTCGTTCAAGGATTCGACGGAATAGAGTAGCAAAGTACTGCTCATATTCACTCCGCCTCGCTGTCTGTAGACATATCTGTAATAAATAATTGAGATATCCTCTTGATTCTAATTAACTTTCCCCGGGTAGATTTACAGAAAGTGAAAATTGCGATAGTTATTTTTGAAACATAGAATTTATAATAGAGTTACATATTATTCAAATATTGTCTTGGCAAGAAAGTATCTCTATCATTTAATAGTACTTTTGAAACGGTATTTGACGAGATAAAAGAATATAATCACCGAGGAAAGATCGTGGACGAAACGACGGACAGCGAGTCGTTCTCGTTCTGAAGTTCGCACGGCTCGCCGTTGAACCACCACGTGAGCTTGGCAGCGGGCACAGCGTAGACGTCGCACTTCAGGGTGACGTTGTCACCTTCGTACGCCTCTATCCGTTCCTGAAGCTCGACCTGCGGCAAACAGGCTAGCTCGTCCATCTTCACCACCTTGATCTGTTTCCCCCGGAGTTTTGGAGGTGCGTCGCAGACGGGTTCCGACTCCTGAGGAGCCGCGGGGGCGGATTCCTTTAGCCAGGCTTGCGTGGCCCGCAGACGGCAGTCACATAGCCAAGGATTGTTGTGCAACGTAAGACCTCGAAGACTTCCGCCGAGAGGCAACGTGAGCTCCGGCACGCGGGTCAACCGATTCCCGTCGAGTCTCAGCCACTCCAGCAACTGAAGCCCCTCGAACGCGTGCTGCTCGATCGTTTCCAACCGGCACTGGCTCAATTCCAGATTGGTCAGGTGCGGCAGATGCTGGAACGATCCGCGACGAATCTCCCGTATGGGATTCCCGTTCAACAGAAGCTTCATCAGGTTCGAGTACGAGGGGAACGTCTCGCTGGGTATCTCTTCGATTAGATTCTCGGATAGATCCAACTCGACCAGACCCACGAGGCCCACGAACGCGGTCGGCGCTATGCGACTGATGTGCGATCTGGCCAGATAGAGGCGTTGAAGATTGATCAGACCGAGCGCGTGAAAGCAATCCGAGGGCAGGCTGACTAGATGATTGTTCGACAGATCTAACACCTGCGTCTCCTCGCGGGCGCCCTGGGGCAGTCCCTTCAGGTCTCGGTTCGCGCACTCCACCCACTCTTTGCCGCCCTTCCATTTGCACGTGCACATGCTCGGGCAACCCTCTGCCAACCACGTCCACGATAACATTATCATCGTGCCGAGCAGCGGCCCTCTCCACCACCAGGCTCGCAGGCTCGAGCACATGGTGTCTCCGCTCGTTCGATCACCTCTACCGTTTCGTTTCTATCTCATGTTTGCCTCGTTCCGCTCCGCTTTTATCTGCTCCTTCGATCGTCCCTGGTACGAGTTCCCGGGAACATCTTCCCGTCGTTTGGGCGCGGTTCGTTTCGTGGCCGGATGGTTTTGTACTCGCGAGTCACTCTGAAACAAAACAACCAACGAAACCAATGAAACTTTCCGCTCTGTTTTCGGAATGGTAAAGGGCAAGCTTACAAGATTCAATTTTGGGCAAGATTGAATCGGTAGAATCGAATGCGAAACGGATAATGCGAGTGGTCAGTTCAATTGAATAAATTTACATTGTTCACTACGCAGTGGAATGCTGCGCATGCAAACAAGAATGAATTCATCACGTATTTAAGGAGAGCTCCCTCTCACGTAGATATGAAAAAGCTCGTAAAAACGTTTTCCAAAGACTCACTGCTGAAATTTAACCGGAGAGACGGCTTTGGCTGTAAAAACTAATCCGCATGAGACGAGGGCAATTTCGGAGCCGCTTAAAAAAATTCCATCACGAGAGGCGGTATTCTTTTTCATCGACGTTTCCCCGAAAGCTGTTTCGCAACTTGGCCCTCGACAAGATTTCCGTATCTTCATAACCGGTGGCCGCGTTCCCTTTTAGGCAGAACCATGTGCACCCGACTCTTCGTAAATGCACGCTTGTATACGTGCACGCGTTCACTGTGTATACGTCGGGCTCTAAAGCGATGAGGTTAGCGCGTTCATCATCGTGCAAAATTTATAGTTTGCAACGAACGCCCGAAAAATGGGGTCAGAAGATTCCATTAAAGCTTTATTTCCTGGCAACGATCTAACTCCATTTGCCATCTCGTAATTCCGCGTCGGTGCTCGTTGATTTTGTTCAATGCAAAAGTAATGGGTTTATTCGCAAAAGAGAAAACGAGAATCGTTCGTAAAACAAATAAGATCATCAATTTTCTAACAGTAGTTGCAGGCACGTTGCCGAACGAAATTGTGATATCACAAATGCGGATCGTTAAAAGTAAACGTGTTCGGAACGAGTGGAACGTAGCGCGTATTTTTAATTCTGGACGAGGAAAGCGAGGTGGTTTTAACACGTGGCGAGGAACGTCATCAGGATCGCGGCTTGAGGCAAAAAGAGTGGCGATAGTGGATATTGGATTCGAAATGTCGAGCAGGCAATATCCTCAAGGCCTGTCTCCTTTTGCACCGGTGGGAAACGTAGAAGAGTCGCGTTGGAATAAAGCCATGAAAAACCGTGGGGTTTGGGGGTTTGCAACGCGCCGTGCCACGTCGGGCCGCGCTCGATATTCCGATATCCTGATATCGGCTGACGCTACGTCGCCACGAGGAGTGTTTCTTCTCGGGATCCGACGTCTTCGAGGTAAATGCAAACGCGTTTCCCTCTCTGTTTCCCATTCCATGGAATTTATTATCCGTTCTAGATCTCTCGTGCCATCTGCGAGTCCTTCCTTAGCTCGTCAACTTCATGACACCTCCATTTCGTTCTTTTTACTTTCGTCTAGCAGTTTCTCAAGTGCCATCACAATAGTTGACCAAATAATATTCTCAGCGATATTGTATATATTAAACTTTTATATCTTATTAAACCATCGAATCAAGTGTAATGTATGTGCATGAATCTTGTAGAGGCAACCAGAAATTTGAAAAAAAGAAAGAATCTCATCTACTTTAAGATACGATCTCCGAAATTTCGAGGTCTCGCCACAATATTCGCTTTAGGAGTAAGACTCCTTCGTGCGAAACTGGAAAACGGCGGAACAGGACGGCGGCGGGCCGAGCATATCAAAGGTCGAAAAACAGTTTCTAAAAGGATTAACTTCTCGTTTATGCGACAAGTTTTCTCCGGCGACGCGATACGAGGTACCAGCCTGCTACTCCTTTTTCAGCCCGCTCCACTTTTGAAACTCCTCCTCTGGCTAACACATTTTCCCACTCTCGGCGAAGCCTCCCTCGTCCCCGACTCCCCCCCCCCCCGATCTCCCATCCCAGCAGCAAGATTTCCCAAGTTCTTCCGTAGCCAATGCGGGTCAGATTTTTCCATAAAACACGCCCGGGAGAGAACCCGGGAGTCCTCCTCGCAGATCTCTGATCGCGGCTTTTACGAGCGAGTCGGCGAGGGAAGGGGCAGACGGAGCCGCGCTGCTGTTTTGCGAATTCGACTGGATAATCCGGCCTCGTCCGGGTGGGTTTCGAGGTTGCCGAGGCTTTCTCTCTCGGCCGGAGATTGAATTCGATGTAACATGGCAGCCGATGCTATTCCACAGGAACGAGGTTACCCTCTCGTATACCTCGAACCTCTCTTGCGGCGTTGTCTCTATCGTTCGGCTACCGTCGGCAATTCGCAACGGCTCATGCCTCGAAACAGTACCTTCGTCGCATCCCGAAGTGGCTCCACGAATTGCGTGGGCGGGATTTTCTCGGTTCGAAACAACCAAGCGCGAAATCCGGTTTTTCACGAATAATCAACAAATTGTATTCCACTTTTTCTTAAATGCTCTCATCATCTGTGCACTTTATATTAAGTATCTAATCCCTGTTTCCGTTAATAATCTCGAGGCACGTGACTAAATATAAATTGACTAATCAAAGCCGAGCCACTTTTCCATCATCCCTTTAATAAAACATTTAACGCGAAATGGAAGCGGGCGATATCGTGCGACGGTGATGAATCGATTACGACGGCCGTTCGTTCGCGAGGTTTACGAGTCCCGACGCCTTTTACGATCGACGACGCGGATCGAGGACGAGGGATCTCCTTGTAAAGGACTGGATACGGTGCTGCGGTGTCTTAGAATTAATGACGCGACTATCGTGGCAGTAATTTCCAACGCGCACATCTACCTAAGTACAAAGTATATCTCTCTCGCGATGCCGCCGTCGTGAGCCGATAGAAGGCTGAATCGACGTGCCCCTGGTTTGACGTCGACACGGCCCGTGATGGGTCGATTAGTATGCGCTTCGATGCGCCCCGTTCAAAATGTGCCGCCGGATCGGACGATTAATTATTAATATGAACGCCGTACGTCAATTCCGGTACAGTATCATCGCCACGGTGTACTTAACCCTGTCGTTCTTCTTCAAATTTCCGAGCCCAGAGGAAAATTAACGAGACATGCGACGTTCTTGGTTTCATCGTCATAGAATAAAATAAGAATTACAAAAAAGTAAAAATGATAAAAGTAAACTTAACACTACCAAGAGTGTAAAAATGACTTGTTTATTTTCAGTACATTATATTTCTTAAAATTTTTTATGACTTTTTCTAAAATATATAAATAATCAATTCTATAAAGCAGTTTTCTGGTTCTTTTTTGCCTTTTTGGTGTAAAATTTTATGCAATACCTATTAATTAAAATATGTTTAATATAAACTGTAAACTACTCCTTCGTCGATAATTACCTCATCAATATTTATAAAAGGTTGAGGTTTAATATCAAGAACTTCTTTTTATACGTCCATTTATTGAATCGTTCTAGTTGAATTATGGATGTTCTTATACCACCTCGCGTGACTGTACATTTTATAAGGCTTATGAACAGTTGCAACTGTCAGAAAGCTGTGTTAACGGTCAATGTGAGAGACTTTATCCTTCGTGATTAAAACGAGTAGTGGAATTTTCGTTTTCTATCTGCGTATCGGTTTTCCGATTCCGATAAGAAAAAAAGATTCCCTCGTAGCAGCACGTTCCTGGCTCTCGAACGAGCTTAACCGAAATACGTGTCAGGGGAAAGCTTCCGTTGCCGGGTGTTCTATCTCCATGGGCCGTTTGGGGCGAATAAACAAATGGGGGAGGCGCGGTACGAGAAACGCACACCGTAGAATTCGTAGAACCGAACTGCCAGCGCCGGGATTCGGAACTCTCTAACTCAAACGGTGAGAGAATTCCGCTGGCACCCATCGATTTTTCATTGTACTCGCTTGTTCTATTCTGCTAACGTTTACTACGATAATAATAACATTGAACGAAAAGGTCGAGGGCCGAAAATCCAGTTAAAAGGTGAATAACGATAATTCTCGCTTTGTTATTTATGCAACGCTTATAAATGAAAGATTGGCGAACGTTAATGGCACGAGCATAATGAATAACGGGAGTTGAGAAATTCTCGGAGCTGAAGCATATCTCGTTTCACAATGGATACTGTAATTAATTAAAGCACCGTGGAATAATAAAACGAGAAACGGTAAACAGTCGACTCGGGAAATAACAGATTTAAGCTTCCGAGATCGTTCCACTGTCTCATTTCTGAAGAATTTTTTTGCCTTCTTGTACGTGATTGTACGCACAGGACGTCGTACGATATTTTTCACTGATTCAAACTATTTAAAAGCGAGCAAGAAATCGCGAGATACGAAATACGCGCGTTACGTCGCGACTACTTTTTTCTCTTCTGTGGCGCGAGACGAGTCCTCGCCCTCCCCCGACCTCCGGGCTGTTACCCGCTCACGCGAAAATGAAAGGGGAGACGAAAAATGGGAATTCGATGTATTCCCGATAGCATCCCCGATAAACTCAGGCGCCCGCGCCTCCAAGAATTCAGCCCCTCGAGTTTCTTGCCCGGTCATGGAAGAGGAGAAGGTAATGGTCCCGATCGCGACACGAATTCAACGACGCGACGAGAGTATTCGTCGAAACGAAAAAAAAAATTAGGCTGTCAGAGTAATATTCGAGCCATTTGATCGAACGGAGATTTAGTTTCAAGCAGAATCGCGTTATCGATTTCCCCTTCAAATCCAGGTTTTAAAGAATTTCTTTCTGGCAATTTAAAAAAAAAAAAGTTCTTTCTGCAGAATCAAACGCGGTAAGTTGAACGAACGGTTGCTCGTTATAGAGGAATGAGAGTCGGACAGCGAAATAGAAGAACAGACATCTGGAAGTAGATAATGATTGAAACGGCGATAAAGAATACTTTGATCGTCTCCCTTCTCTCGCGGAATGCGAATAAAGTGGAATCTATTATACGCGTAGAAAGCGGGATATCAAGCAGGTTTTACGAGGAATGGTACGAGAGCCAATAAGCAGGAATACGAACGAATTTAATTAACATCGGCCCGTTATTGGCCACATTAAGCGTCGCTGGACAAAGGACTAGCGTAGCGAAGCGACAAAGGTTCACGGAAGTTCAGGCAAGGAAAA